CGCACAGTCTCTGCTCAGTGGCCACGCCCAGGGCCGCGACCTGGGCACCCTGCTAACGCGTGCGACGGTGGCGGTGGGGCAGCTTGCAATGGTCTGGGCACACGCAGCGCTGGCAGAGGAAGCTGCGGTGAGTGGGGTAGTGTGGGGGGGGGGGACGCTGGTTGTGTGCGATGGATTGGGCGCACCCAGCAGGCATTCTCGCAGTGCAGAGGGTCGCTTGCATCGGAGCGTGCCACGAAGTGCGGCATTCCTCTAGCCTCCCCTTCCACCTTTGGGCAGAGCCTGATTTGGCGGCCCCCCGGTCTTGTTGTGTCCAGTGGCCGCGCTCTACCCTGCAATGGGCCATCAGCCTTTCAGCAACCCCAACTCCTGAGCTGGTCATCCAGAGACACCCCACGACCCCGCCACCCCCCGGCACCGCAGGACGCCATAGAGGAGGACGAGGACGAGGGCCGCAACGACGCAGGCGCCTCGGGCCGCCCCCGCGCTGCCCGCGGTTCCGCCGCCGCCGCCGCCGCCGCCGCCCCGCGCGGCCCGAGCGCCGCGGCGGTCTCCGACCTCGTCGCCCGGCGCGGCGCGTTCGTGCGCGCGCTCGAGGCCATCCTGGACGCCCCGGCGCCGGCAGCCGTCGATGACGTCATCGACGGCGGCCAGGCTGCCAATGCCAAGCGCGAGTGGGAGGAGCTGCGTGACCAGGCGTTCTGCGGCCTGGTGGACCTGGCCGCGTTCTCCAACGGCCCGGGGCTGGCGCAGGTGGCGGGCGCGGGGCTGGCGGTGTCGGCCGCGACTGCGGGGCGGCTGTGGGGCCACGTGGAGGCACTGCTGGATGAGGAGGAGGAGGAGGAGGAGCAGGAGGACGGCGGGGACGGGTGGGAGGGTGAGCAGCGGCGGCGCTGCGAGGGACCTCCGTTCGCATCGCCCTGGCTCGCGCCCGCTCTCCTGGGTGCATGGCGCGTTCCATCGGTCCCGCTGCAAACAGGACGTGCGGCTGGGCCACGCCCCTTTGCCAACTGGGCTCCACCGGGCTTTGTGGTGTGCGACACTGCTTCGGCCGCCAGTGCCTGCCTACTGCCTGACATTTTCGCCGCGCCACCTCCCATGTCGCCGCTGACCCTCGCCTGCCACCAGACGGCGACGAGGACGCCGGCGCCCGCCGAGCCCCGGCGGCGGCTGCCGCTCGCCGCTCCGCCGCGGTGCGCCTGGCGGCGCGACGCGCTCAGTGCACGGCGCTGCTGGGGCGGCTGCTGCTGGCGGGGTGCCTGCCACGTGACCAGGACGAGTGGCTGGGCGCGCGGCTGGTGGGGCTGCTGGCGGATGGCACGCACCCCCAGGTGCGCGGGGCTGTGAGGAGGGGGACCGGTCGGCGGTCGCAAATGCCTCCGTTCTGGCCTGCCACACCTCCCTCTCCACCAGTGGCTGTCCGCTGCTGTGTGCCTTGCTTGGCCTCACGCACCAGCCTGCCGCCGCAGCTCTGCTGCAGGCGACCGCGCCCGCACCCCTTGCCACTCATGTCGTGCGACTGCTTCCAGCGTCGACCCACTGGGCCCCATCACACATGCAGAGCCTCTCACACAATCGCCCCGTTCCCCCCCCCCCCCAGGTCCAGGAGGTGGCGCGTGGCGTGTGCCGTGAGCTGCGCCGCCACCGCCCCGGCTTCCTCCCGCACCTCTACCTCTCAGCCCTCAAGACGGCCTGGGAGCAGGTGCGGGGTTGCAACAGGGGGGGGCACGAAAGGGGTAAAAAGGAAGGGAAGGAGGTGGGGGCAGGGGAAAAGAAGCCACTGTGCCCCCCCACTTGTTGCACCAGCGCGTGCTCGCCAATGACTCCGCTGGCTCCACCCAAATGCCAAGTGCACCCCTCTCAAATCGCGGCGCATTGAGCCCCCCGCCCTGCATCGCTCCGTGACTGCAGCGGAACCAACCCCCCTGCCACCTGCACGCACCCCTCCGCTCAAACCCACCTCACGGCGCCAGGTGGAGGACTCGTCAGACCCGGAGGGCGCCATGGGGCCCTTTGAGGGCCTGGCCGCGGCGGTGTCCAGCATGTACAATGGTGTGTGTAGGAGGGGGCAAGGGCTCTTCTGACCTCATAGCTGGAGGCTGGGGACAATTCGGCTGGGGAGGCTGGCCCACGCGGCCGCGTCACACCACATACTTGACCCTCAACAGGGCGCGGCTTCCGCCGGCGCTGCGCTGTGCACCTCAACCCCCGCC